GCACTCTCCACCAGGTACAATATTCTGATTGTTTGCATCTTGTTTTTAAGCCCATAAATAATAATGTACTCATTCTAATAAATTTATATTGTAATGTACTCATTCTAATATATATATTTTTAAAAATAATTTACATTGCTGTTAGGTTATCATTGCTCAAATTAACACACTCTCTACATTTAAAAAATGAAAATTAGAAGAGTTCTAAACTAATGCGCTTTCTTCTGTAGCTAACTCACACACACGTTCAGTCACTCACACAGATCACGTTGCGGCCACACTCAGATATTCAGGAACAAACTTTTTCGCCGCAATTTTATCAACTAAATAGATTAATCGCTCAAGAGCTACATTAACTTTCTCAACAAGGAGCTGGTAACATCCTTGTCTCTAAAGGGATTAAAGCCACAGCTTCACTGTTAATAGAGAAACGTGGCAAAACGGTGGTAATTCATACATACACAGCCTCTCTCTCTCTCTCTCTCTCTCTCTTTCTCTCATAAATGAACACTTGATGACACTTTTCTGAGAATAGAATATTGAACTGGAGATCGCTAAACTGCAAGCTAAAACTAAAACCGGTGTTTTCAGACAGCAAGCGCGTTTATCCACTGTGGAGAGAGAGCACAGGGTTGCCAGGTTGACAAAGATAAGTAACACATTTAACAGATATTTCCGTATTGCGCAAGTGTAAAGCTCTGTTTTGGGGATTACGTCTCTTTATATCAGGCAACCCAGTTGTCTTCTTCTGCTGCCAGATTAAACCTTGTTGTAGCCTATAAATGAATGCTCTATTCATTTTTTTTAGAAACCTCGCACTTTTCTGCTCAATTTTAAATGTTCTTGTATTCAAATTAAGCGAGGTCCACTGCTGCACACGTGTCACAATATCGATACAGGGCCAGCTATATCGATACTCATATCATCAAATCTCTGCGTATCCTCAAATCTCTGTTTATACACAATGTATCGAACACAGCACTAGTAAATACTGCGTCAAAATCAAATAAATTTGAGCGCGATTTAAACCCGGATGATTGCAAGCACTCTAAGTGCGTCTGTCTTGGGACAGCTAGCGTGTCTCCGACATAGCGATAACACTCGTTGCCTTCTCTAGTGCAGCTCAACCAGGTCTCATCCCATTCATCGATATTTGTGATATCACAAATCCCGGAAAATATGCGTTGTAGTCCAAACGAGTCGTTCGTTGTAGTTTTTAAAAAGTGATTTCTGTTAAATAAAATATCTCCTTTTGAAGTAGACTTTGAGCTTTGTAACTTTGCAGATCTTTTTATGCTCAAACAGCAACATTACAGACTAACTAAAGTTGAAAAAGTGAAAAACCATAATAGGACCCTTTAAAGTTTGAAGGTTTTCAGTTTTAACCAGTTTGAAATTTAAAAGTTTAAAAGTTTAAAGTTTTAAAGTTTTGAAGACAATGCAATTTATCAGAAAAATAGATAGATAGATAGATAGATAGATAGATAGATAGATAGATAGATAGATAGATAGATAGGTAGGAAATATTACATTAAATTAGAAATTTTAGATGTAGATTAATAGAATATATGGTGTTTCTATGTGGTTTCTATGGTGTTGCTATGCGGTTGCTAAGGTACCCGGGTTGGTTGCTAAGGTGTTGCTATGCGGTTGCTAGGGTACCTGGGTTGGTTGCTAAGGTGTTGCTATGTGGTTGCTAGGGTACCCGGGGTGGTTGCTAAGGTATTGCTATGCGGTTGCTAAGGTACTTGGGGTGTTTGCTAGGGTGTTGCTATGTGGTTGCTAGGGTACTTAGGGTGGTTGTTAGGGTGTTACTAGCATGTTGTTAGCATGATTAGCAAGTTAGCAGCATGTCTCTAGCATGATTAGCATGTTACTAGCATGTTGTTAGCATGATTGGCAAGTTACTAGCATGTTTTTAGCATGATGATTAAGTTACTAGCATGTTATTAACATGATTAGCAAGGTACTAGCATGTTGCTAGCATGTTTATATCATGATTAACATGTTACTAGCATGGTGTTAGCATGATTAACAAGTTACTAACATGTTTCTAGCATGATTAGCATGTTACTACCATGTTGTTAATATGATTAGGAAGTTATTAGCATTTTATTAGCATGTTTCTAGTATGATTAGCAAGTTACTAGCATGTTGTTAGCATGATTAACATGTTAATAGCATGATTAGCACGTTACTAGCATGTTGTTAGCATGATTAGCTAGTTACTAACATGTTGCTAGCCTGTTTCTAGCATGATTAGCATGTTATTACATTTACATTTAGTCATTTAGCAGACGCTTTTGTCCAAAGCGACTTACAAATGAGGACAATAAAAGCAGTCAAAACTAACAAAAGAGCAACAATATAAAAGTGCAAATGACAAGTCTCGGTTAGCCTAACGCAGTACACGTAGCAAGGTATATATATATATATAAATATATCGGTCGACCACTAATATATATATTGCGATTAATTTTACAATCCTTAACACATTAAAACAATTTTACGCAATTAACGCAAAATTACTGAAGCATAATTTCTATTCTAACCCAATTTTGCTTCTCTGCTCGCGATTAGATCATTTTAAGCCGCTAAACTCTGAGAAAGTTTTCAGTCCAATGATCCAGTAAGCGAATGCATTCAAACAATCCGTCCAAAACAGCGCTAATATAAAGGAAACCAGGCTAATTACATCAGAGATTGCAGAGAGAACAGAGACTCGCTTTGGGTTTTCAGTGAATTATTCATTCCAGTGTGCTTCGCTTTAAAACACGAGCTCTGTCATATTCTGTGATTGCCTCTGAAGAGCGCGAGCCCTCACACGTGACACGCGCTGTGTGAAGTACAGATTGAACGGATTGTCAACACATCCCACCGCTGTATGGTCAGATGAGATGCAAACTACGGTTTCTCGACTGGATAACCAGTCTCACAAGTAAAGTTTTGATGGATGAAGACAGCAATCAAGGTAGATTGCGGTGGCGTACAGGAGTCGTACAGTACAGTAAGCACTCGTAAGTCTGTTATAATAATGCATGTATGAGTGCTCTTGACGCACAGATACAGATTTATGCACAGGCACAGACATTTCCGTACATTCACATTGTTTCCACACATTCACGATAATGTTTTGATTTGTCATGTTTGTGTTGCCGTGTTTAGTTATATGGAATGGATCCGTGTACTGTAATAGATCTATGCAGTCAGCAGGCGGTTGGTTTAGGTTTTTTTGGCATCTCCATGTGGTCCTGTTCGGTATCGCAACTTGGCTTCTCTAAAATGTAAAAAAGCTC